TATATTTTAAAATATTTTCATAACTTTATTACACCAAATACTATTAAAAAATTAAATTTAATACAGTTAAATATTATAATAAAATTTAAAATATTTAATTTTCTTAGAGTGAGTTCTTTTTTTAAATAAAATGCATAATTTTTTTCTCATAAATACTATTTTAATAAAAATTTCCAGTATCTAAAAGTGTAAAAAATTATATCGAAAAATTAGAAAATAATTAAACAATGCCTGTTACTTAGTACTTTTATAAACACTAAACTGTATTTTCTAATTATTTAAAAAATTCATAGATGGCATTATAATATAAGTTACGTACAGATCAATTTCAATTCACTTTCTGTATTATATTGTCATTCAGTCATTAGCAGTTGAAACACTTCACTTTTCTCAGCAATTTCATTTTCCATCTTCTCTTTTCTTTACATCCTTTTCACAACGTTTGAAATTATATAGGATGAAAAGACAGTCGAGTTCGTGTTTAACGTTTATCAATCGATCAAGAGAACAATTCATTTTTATCTCTAAATAAATTAGTAATGATAATTCATTTTGTAATTTTTTTTTTAAACTTTTTGTCAGTTTTTAATATTAATGATCCATAAAAAATATCTCTATTTCCTGCAATTGGTAGTAATAATTTGATAAATGTAAATGTCAATGTTCAAAATTACAGCAGCGTGATCATTGCCTAAACTTGAGTAATTTAATCACGATTTTGAGGGTCCCAGTATATTAAGAAAGGGTAAAATCTGTGTAATATTTTTTAAATAATAAAATTTGGTAAAAATGAAAGTTTTTTTTTTTTTTTTTGTTTCTTAATAACCACACGTTAAGTGCACTACATCAATACATCAAGTATGTAGGCTGTCAGGAGCCTGGGCTCAGTCATTAGGGAAGAGCCTAAATCTAAATGAAAACGCATTAAAAGTACAGGAGAAATCCTAGAAATAAAATAAAAAAATATAAATAAATAATTCTTAACTAATATTTGTATTAAAATGTTTATTTTTATTATTCATTTAAACGATTTTCTGGAGTAAAAATGAATAATATTACAATAACATTTTACTTTACAATCTGTAAATAACTTATTTAAACAATACTAAAACTATTTTATTACGAAATATAATGAATTAAATATCCTCAAATTATCTTATAAAAATTTAAAAATTAATAAAACAAAGAAGGGCATGGTGATAAACACATTTATGTTTAAAAAATATTCTTATTTATTTAAAATTTTGATGTATAAAATATCAAAAAAAAGGAGTGAAATATTAAATTTTTATTTCGTCGTTTATTTCTAATTATACTAGAATTTTAAAAAGAAAGTTATGAACATAAAAAGATATTAAAAACTTCGAGATAAGAAGATGAATAGTTTGATTTAGGATCCAGATAATGGAATTTCGTCAGGATAATTAAGCCATTCATTCCTAATGAGGCAAACCGATAGTAACGAGAAGATTAGAACATTTCGATCTGTGATTGAAGACAAGTTTATCGACAAAGCACGCAATGTAACAGTATTAATATATGAATTTTACAGATTATTTAACACAGGACTAATAATACTTTGTATAGAAATTTTATTTTTCCAAACAAATATTAGTCTTTTCGAGTAAATTAATTAATCTTCCAATATTTATGGAAGATAAATTTGTTTTATTATTCATCAATTTGTTTTTTTATTGCGATAGAAATATAAAATTTTACATTAGATAAAAGAAATTGGGCTCTTGTAAGAGCCCAATTTCTTTTATCTAATGTAAAATTTAATGCAATGTAATATTTATTTAATATAAGCATTTTTTATATGCAAGTTTTATGAATATGTGAAATCTTTTCTTCAATAGAAAATTATTAAAAATGTATTATTACAACATTTAGAATTTTGTATAAAATTTGAAAATTTTATATATAAATTCTTTACATTTAAATAAAAGAATTGATTTTTATGTATAAATTGTTTACAAGAAAGAGTAAAAAATATGATTTTATGCATTAGAAACTAAGCAATAATTTTCGAATTTTTACATTAATTTTCTTTTTATATTAAATATTTTATATTTAAATATGTAAATTAGACATATATATATATATTTTTTAGAATTCAAAATATTATTTAATCTCTTATAAATTTTAAACGAATTAATCAATTATTATTGCTATTTTAATATGGAATTATATAAAAACTGCTCATTGTAAAGATTTTGTATTAAAATAGAATAGAAAAACAATTTTAAAAATTAAATAATTTCTTACTATCATTAATTTAATTCTACCTTAAATTATTAATCATAAACAATTGAAGTTGTAAGTTAATATTATAAAATATAGGTTACATCTAAACAGATAAAGTGTTTTATTTCTTTTATTCGATTAGATCTTCAAATATTAAATCTCTCAATTTCTTTTTTTTTTCTCTCAATTCTATGTTACTAAAAGTTGGAAAAATATNAAAGCCGAATTGGATTTTTCCATGCATCCTGATGAAGTAAAAGACGCAGTTCAGAAAGTTATGAAAGATATGAAACGAAAGAACTCGTTTAATGATGATCGCCCAGGAAAAAAATGGCTAAAGCTTTTTCTAAAAAGACACCCTAATATAGCAGTAAAGAATACAGAAGTGATATCCAAAGCTCGAGCAGCAGTTTCAAAAAAGATGATAAGGAATTGGTTTCAAGAATTAAATAATTATTTGAGAGAAGAACATGCAAGTGATATTCTGCAAAATCCTTCCCGTATCTTCAATGCCTATGAAACAAGGATGCTATTTTGTCCAAAAACTGGCAAACTTCTGGGACCTAAAGCATATAAGAACTTTTATAACATTTCATCAGGACAAGAAAAACAGTGTATTACTGTTTTGTGTAATTTTTCTGCAAGTGGCCAGTCAGTGGATCCTATGATAGTGTTCCCATGACTTCCGGTTTAGATAGAAATTCGAATACAATTACAGTAGACCCCCTATAACACTGTAGATAATTCCGTGTTGTACGAGTTACTTAGATTTTACAAATGCGTGAGCCGTTCACAGCTCGGCACGCGTATTTTTAAAATCTAAGTGACTCGCACAACACGGAATTATCTACAGTGTTATAGGGGGGTCTACTGTAAGCGGTGGTTCTGGCTCCTAAGCTTTTCCATATCTGGTCTCAAAACATCTTTGTAACGCCGTTCTCGGACGGACATACGGACAGATAGAAGAGAGTGGAAACCTACATTTTTGGTCTGAAATTTGAAAATTGCAAACCAAAAATTCAAGATTTTACCACGTTTTCATTACCTTAGCACGTATGACTTGCGGGGTATTTAAAAAGGATTGGTATACAAAAAAATAACCCCAGAACAGAATTTAATTGCAAGATTTTGATTGAAAGATTTGCAAATTGCAAGATTGAAAACGACATATCAATAATGACCGGATGAATTGCAATGGTTTCTCATAATTCTTAACGATATGTCAAAGATGCATCAAAGAGGATAGAAACCACTTTCAGCACTCCTTGTAATGAGATATTTTACTTTTTTTTGGCTTACATTAAATTATAATTTTACTAATTTATCGCCTACTTTTGCCATTTCTTTCGGGTACAGTAGACCCCCTATAACACGGGTTCCTATAATTACGATTCCGATAAGACGGCAAAAAAATTGCCACGGTATCCGTACAAACCTGGTAAAAAACTCCTATAATTCGGTAAAACGTCATCGGGCTGCCGAACTACTTTCCGCCGTCCAGCGCCACGTTACAGAGAATTTAGGCGGGTAAATTGAGTTTATTATCGTCTGTACAGTGTTATATATAAATTATATATAAATTAGGTACTGTACATATAATTATATATTAATTATATATAAATTAGGTACTGTACATATAATTATATATTAATTATATATAAATTAGGTACTGTATATATAATTATATATTAACTTAATTTATTGTAACTTTATTATAATTAAATATATATTTTTCGCCGTCTAGCGTCACGCTACGGCGAGTTAGGCGACCTATCGTCTGTCCAGTACTGTAATTTTATACATTTCTTGTGAAAGAAACATTTCTTATTTAACGGCCATAAAAATTATTTATATTAAGGATGTCTCCAAAGGTCAACGAAGTTTTCGCAGAAAAATAATATCAGAAATCGCGGCCGCGGTTTGATGCGCTGTTCCGCGACGAAACCAAGCTTTAGCAACGGGCGTAGTCGAACGGTACACACTCGGTAAGCAATCCTACAATTTTTTGTTTATAACGTAGTTTATACGGATTATTTTCAAAAAAATATACGTATTTTGGAAATGTTGAGTCGAATTAGACTAGAATCGATTAATTTTAAGGAAGAAAACCTTTCAAACAGCCGTAGTCCGCAAACTTCACACGTGTCGGGCTGTGATTGGCAAGGATTCGTACAAAATTGATTCATAAAGAACGGAACGTATGTACCGTGTTATAAGGGGGTCGACTGTATATTTTTAGAGTTATTATTATGTTTATATTGAACTCTTAAAATGTATGGTTTGATATAGTCTTGTGAGAGTCCAATAAGCAAATAACAGAAGATACAAAGAAAGCATATATAAGAATATATAAGGATATATACACTTACATAAAAAATATATAGTATAAGCTAAATATAAATTTAAAGTTCAAAAATTAATAGAAAATAATAAATAAAAATGTTTGTAAATTGGAGATCAACGACTGCATGAGGTACAGAAACATTATAGAATGTATTAATGAAAAATAAATTAAATATTATTTAGAATAAATTTCAAAGCAAATAAATGAGAGAAAAATAAAGTTGTAGAGTAAATTCACTTTTTATAATTTTAATTTTATTTTAAAATTTAGATTTATTGCAATTTTATTGAAGTAGAATTGAAGTCCATTTACATAACGTAACTTTAATGACATTTTATATTAAGAAAATGATAATTTTACTTAAAAAAAGAATTTTAATTTGGTATACATTTTATATTATGAAACAAGTGCTGCAATGAATTAGATATTGCATTTGTAATGAACATTGCAATATAAATTGTAAATAATGTACTAAAATTCGTTTACTTAAAAATATTTTTGAGCACTTTATTTTCATCAATTTTTAAATTTTTAACTCCAAGAATATAGAATATTATGTACTGTATAGACCTAATCTATATATATCTTCAAGTCTAAATCATTTATCTTAACTAAACATGGAAAAAGTATTTGTTTTGATAGAAAATATACGTAGTGAGAACAGAAAAATAAACAGGATATTTCCTTTTATCTTTTATAAGCTCAAAGTTTTTCTTATGTTCATATATATAAGCATCTTTAATGCAACACTTGCTCGTATATATGCCATTAAAAATTATGGTTATGCCACTTCCTTATGAAGATGAAGAACAACTGCTATAATAGTATAATAAATACACAATTAATCATTGTACCGTAGTTCATATGAATATAAAATGATAAGAAATCTGTTAACTATTGTAAACATTTAGAAACAATTACTTAAAATATTTTAAGCTATATATTTTCAACACTTAAATATTATATTATAGGCTACATATAAGATATAAACAAATAAAAAAATTATTATTATTATTGTTATATTTTAGTTTTATAAATTCATATTTTTATAGTATTGAGCCTAAATAAATAGGAATTTCTTTTGCAATTGAATTATTCATGTAATAAATTAAGTTATACAATTAATAATTTCAAGATAATGTTTATTTATTAAATAATTTAATAATATATAAAATACTTTCTTTAAATGAAAATTTATCTTCTATAGTACATTTTCTTGCACGATTCTTCTTAATTATTCACTGTGCGTATAACATATTTGAATAAAGAAGTGTTGCTGTCATTCATTTCTGTCATCATGATAAATGCATGCTACAAGAATTCTAAAACAATGTCATTACATTCTTTTTAACATGACAACAAATTCTTTTAAAATATTAATCATTTTAATAAAGTATATAAAGTCATCCAGGCATATATTAAAATAAAGCAGTAGGAAAACTTTGTCACTTTTAACATAGAAAGATTGTTTAATTATCAAGGTAATGAAGGTGCTGTTAAACAACATCCATTAAATATTTATTACAAAGTGTATACACGTTCTCCATACCCAATACGAGCCTTAATGAGCCATTTTCGTTAATTATGTCGTGACTATTTTACTTATTGCATATTGTTTTAAGAATTGCTTTATTTTAATTTTATTAGATACTAAACTCGTTAAGATTACTAAAAGCTTTATATTTATTTTTATGATGTTCATAAGTTATTATTTAATAAAAATGTATTGTTACGGTTATTTATTTATGCTCAAACATGTAAAATTTAATAAAGTTTATACTATTTTCATACAAAATTGTTTTACTTTGTATTATTTATTTAAATATAATATATTTATCATAATTATTTTTAATTTTAGATATAATTTCTCAACTTTGGATAGTTTAAAATGTTGTTTTAAAGTGATAAAGCTGACATTTTTGATTTTATAGAGATCGCGATCTACTGATTGAGAAGAAAAAGTGATTATATTAAAACATCTTAGAGTATAATTAAATATAATAGATAACGCAGATAAATTTTAAAATTAAAAGTAAATCATTAAATTTAATTGAAATATTATGTAAGTAATATTATTCCAGTTTATAATAAGCTTTTACAACAGTTTAGGAATTTGATAACTATATATCGAGAAAATTACTTTCCTTATAATTCTAGTTAATTTTTAAAATGGAAGAGAAATTTGATATTTTCTTTTTTAAAAAAAAATAAATAGAATGTAAGGATAATATNGTGAGAGTCCAATAAGCAAATAACAGAAGATACAAAGAAAGCATATATAAGAATATATAAGGATATATACACTTACATAAAAAATATATAGTATAAGCTAAATATAAATTTAAAGTTCAAAAATTAATAGAAAATAATAAATAAAAATGTTTGTAAATTGGAGATCAACGACTGCATGAGGTACAGAAACATTATAGAATGTATTAATGAAAAATAAATTAAATATTATTTAGAATAAATTTCAAAGCAAATAAATGAGAGAAAAATAAAGTTGTAGAGTAAATTCACTTTTTATAATTTTAATTTTATTTTAAAATTTAGATTTATTGCAATTTTATTGAAGTAGAATTGAAGTCCATTTACATAACGTAACTTTAATGACATTTTATATTAAGAAAATGATAATTTTACTTAAAAAAAGAATTTTAATTTGGTATACATTTTATATTATGAAACAAGTGCTGCAATGAATTAGATATTGCATTTGTAATGAACATTGCAATATAAATTGTAAATAATGTACTAAAATTCGTTTACTTAAAAATATTTTTGAGCACTTTATTTTCATCAATTTTTAAATTTTTAACTCCAAGAATATAGAATATTATGTACTGTATAGACCTAATCTATATATATCTTCAAGTCTAAATCATTTATCTTAACTAAACATGGAAAAAGTATTTGTTTTGATAGAAAATATACGTAGTGAGAACAGAAAAATAAACAGGATATTTCCTTTTATCTTTTATAAGCTCAAAGTTTTTCTTATGTTCATATATATAAGCATCTTTAATGCAACACTTGCTCGTATATATGCCATTAAAAATTATGGTTATGCCACTTCCTTATGAAGATGAAGAACAACTGCTATAATAGTATAATAAATACACAATTAATCATTGTACCGTAGTTCATATGAATATAAAATGATAAGAAATCTGTTAACTATTGTAAACATTTAGAAACAATTACTTAAAATATTTTAAGCTATATATTTTCAACACTTAAATATTATATTATAGGCTACATATAAGATATAAACAAATAAAAAAATTATTATTATTATTGTTATATTTTAGTTTTATAAATTCATATTTTTATAGTAT